ACCCACTGCAGCACCCCGTACACCTGCTTTCCTGTCCGAGGCATGACTGTACCACGGCCGCGAGCCGGTCCCTGCAGCCACAGTCCTGAATGGGAAATGTACTGAAGTGTGTCAGATTCATTTGATGGAGAATAGAAATGATTCGCCACGGTATCCTTCCCCATAAGTCCAAAGTGTGTAAGAAAGCCTGGGTGGTGCCATGTGCTATGTAAGTGGCAGATATGTTTATTGTTTCCAGTGACTGGTGCAACTATTTTTAGGGAAGCACTTAGCAAGGAATGCTGGGATAGCAACACTAGTTCGACTTTCTACTGTCCTCCTTAAACTTTGATGTTCTTTCCTGGAAGTCGTGTGTGGAAGAGATTTTAGCCACTGTTCTTTTTCGTTCTGAGAATTTCCCCCAGGCCTTTCATCTCCCTCTTTGGTGTTCGAGGCAGCTTATATTTGCACCTAACTTTTTGTAACATGTACAGGCACCCAGATTCCTCTGCCTCTGGTTAGTCAGCTCTTCCCCACTTGGGCACCGGCCCTGCTGTGCATGGACTCTGCCCACTTCTCACCTGAAACATTGCCTCTCCCCGTGCCTTCTGCACTCCTCGCTAACTGCTTCGAGTCATCCCGTCCAACCATATTCCATTCAACACTGTCCCAGAACAAACTTCACTTCTCGCTCACTAAATAACCACCTTCAGGAAGCCTCCCCTAACCCCCTAACCAAACATCCCATAACCCACCTCATTCTAAAATATTGCTTTTCATAATCTCCAACAACTTGCTCCTTTCCTCCCCTCAAAGAAATAAACTGTCTTCAGTGTTTCGTCCTATCTGGGCACTGAGCCACCTCACTGAAACCATAAAACACACACACACACACACACTACCAACAACCTCCCAAACAAAGAAAAACGACCTAATACAGTCCTCTGCCTTCCCTTTTTCTCTCTGAGAAAGAAAATTCTCATGAGGTATATAAGGACCCATTTGTGTCTGAGGATTTTTCTTTCCCAGTGAAATAAGCTCAGGAGAAATACAGTAAGGCATTCCAAGGCCAAACACATTCTACTGTTTATTACACATATTACATTCTTAAATAAAAATGCGTCACATAACATTTTTTGCATAGATATCTTACAATATACCAATTTAAAAAAGAATTATGAAACAGACCAGTAACAAAAATAAATTTTTTCTTCATTAATAATTTTGTAACATTAACATACCACCATCATATAATACAAATAATAGTTTTAAATCTTAAGACTTTTGTACAGCAAAAAAACTTGACAAAGTAATATATTTATATATATATATATAAAAAGCTTAAAAAAAATAAAATGTCAAAAAAAGGCATAACCGAGGGCTATAAGACTGGGTACTTCTGTGATATATTATAAATACCAGAGAAGGCCTGAGAGAATGTGACCAGGGAGGTGGGGGAGGGGAGGGGGCTGGGAGTAGGTCTCTCCAAACACACTTGTTGGACACATCTGGCAAAAAGAAAATGTATAGTGCAAAAATAAATTTCTTCAAGCCAACTGTTAAGAGGATAATGGAGATTTGAAAGAAAAATGGTGGTGGCCGGGGAGTTGTGTCATGGGAGTAGGGAGGGAAGAGAAGGAGTTTGGGGAAATTTGTGGAAAGGAGGGGGGGAGGCTTCAAAAATATTAAACATTTATTTTTGCCTCTGTGTTAGCAAGGAGATCTTGGCCATAACAGGTGTACTTTTCCTCCCTGGAATGAAGCAGAAGTGAAAGATAAGAAAATTAAGTCTGAGTACAGGAAATGCATGCGGGGGTGGGGGCAGGGGGAAGGTTGAGAACCAGCCAATGAGCCCAAAAGCCTCTAAGGACCTAGCTTTGCAGAAATTATTCTGTGTCTGGTCCAAAGGCCTAGGATTAAAATGTCCCCTCTCCCCACCCTCAGCCCTTCCCCTGTATGTGGAACTCCCAGTGTGGTTTCAATATACTGGCAATTAATTATAAGCATCCATCCCCCAAAAAAGTTATTAGGCACTGGTGGCTACTCCTCTTAAACGTCAGTAGCCTATTTTCCTTCTGCGAAGGTACAATAGGTACGTGTCCACACATCTAGGTGTGTGCAGACATACCACCCTCATTATTCTGATGTGGGGTCCATTTTATGGCAGTAGACAGAAGCTGGAGTCAAAGCAATTTACGATTCCAAAGCTCACAGTTGAAAAAAATTGTATAAACAGTCCCCAACAAAGAACAGATCAGCCTTCCCTCATGACCGCTTAGAGGGAGCCTTGTTTGAAAAGAGTATCTTGTTTGGGATATTTGTGAAGTGATGGCCTAGGATTTCTCTCTCCATTTTTGATACCTGTTTCCCGAGGACTTATACTTAAATGCAAAACACCTGAAGAATACAGTACTAGATCGGAAGGGTGCACACGAGAAAGTTAATTGCAGCTTTAATATCCCCTCTTCTGGGATCTATTGGGAACCGACAGAGGAGGTTTAAGAGAGAGTGTTAAAAGCAAGCGAAAACCCTGAAGCCTCAGGCAGTTGGCCATGGGATCTCACACTGAGAAGCAGTTTTTGCTTCCTTGGACACATTTTTTTTGTTCCATCTCAAGTATTCCCCATGATTCTCACTGAGGAAAGTAGGCCATCAAGGAGGCACTGATGTATACTCAGGCCAGCCCCTCTCGTTTTCAAACTGAGATATCACCATGTTTACCGAAATTTAATCCAGACCACAATGCAAATTCTCTCCTCCTGCCCCCATGCCAGCTTGGCAGGTGGCCACTTCCGAAATATGCCGGGGAAAGCTTCCGCAACCAGGTTCTACTTAATGAAGTTTCACTTTGGCAAAGATCTGGGTGCAAAACTATGGCCAGACATGCTGGCCCTCCTAAGACTTTTCAAAAAGAAACAATGAACCTGATTAGTGTAGTTAAATGTGTTGCATCTCTCGAACTTTCCCTTCCTTCTTCCTTCTCCTAAAACCAACTTGTGCAGAGAGAAGGCAGAAGCACTTTGCACTGTATTGTTACCTTTTATGAAGTGCCTTCCATAGCGGAACCATTATGGATCCAATAAAACTAATCACTAGGTTTTGTTGTTCTTGCCATCTGAGTTTCTTTTTGACTTTGCCATAGAATTCAGGCATGGGGCTGGAGGCAGAACACTCTGAGTGTCCTGGATGAGCGGCCCTGAAAGTCCCATTGCCTCTGATGCAAACAGACATGGCTAATCTGGAAGTTTATCCCAAAAAAAGTCCTTAAAAAATCTTCTCTGGCTTCTAGATTCAAAGAAGATTTTTTAAAACATAGGAATCAGCTCTGCTAATCATGTGTGAGGTTGGCTGTCTTTTTACCCTGTTAGAATCAGGCAATCAAAGATGTAAAAAGGGCACAAGAGGTGCAAGAGGGGAGAAGATGGGTGTTTGAAGGGCTGCAAGGGAGCACGTAGAGAGGAGAAGGTAATGGTCAGCACGAAGTTCATTTTGGGGTGTCCGATATTTTTATAAAATGCAGCTTTGTCATGGAATCCGAACATCTCTTTTTCTGGACATAATATTCATCACCACCAGGCATTAAGTAGGGCAAATTAACCATTAGTGGGGCAGGAGGCCAGTAGCTAGGAGCAGCATGTCATTTCAGGTTTCCACATCTTTGACTTACAGCCAGGTGGTAGGAGAAAGAAGCACAACTTGAAATAAAGAACATTGTCAAAACTGTCAATGGCTTAGAAACACTCTCGTTCTACACATCGAGCTCTGAACCCTGGGTGAAGTGTGCCCGAGAGGACAATCGCAAGAAACACCATGCCAGGTTTTGCTTTCAAATCTGGGATCCCCTGGAACGTTAGGAGGTAACAATTTAAATGAGAAAGCAGTTTGATGTGTTTCAAATGTCCATTAAAGCACTGTTTTAAATAACCTGTCCTTTTGGGAGCCACATATTTTCAGGTTATTTCTTGGAAAGCCTGTTCACTCCAGCAGGCTTTTAACCAACCATCTCTGCCATTTTGGAGATGATGGGCATTTGATCACAAATCTGTTTCCAAAATGATTGGGGCTGCACCCCTACTCCCATGGATAGGACTGGTTATCAGTCACAGGCGTCAGTCGGGCTAGAGACGAGCAGTTTCAAAGCCATACACTTAGCACCCACCAAATTCTCAGGCCAATTCTCAGTCAACAAATGACTCTGAAGCAAGCCAGCCCGACCAGCATGGTTCAGCGCACCCTGCTCCGAGAAAGGTCAGGAGCAGATTACAAAGGACTCACTGATACAAAAGAGAGAGGAATTACAGAACAGTTCAGACACTGATGAGGACCAAAGGGCCTTTGTTCCCCCACATTCAAATAAGGTCTTTTCAAGACCACAGATGACAACAGGGAGCAAACAAGCAATGATTACTCTTTTGCATTCTTTTTTTAACTTTCCTTTTAATAGAGCCTTGCATGGGTCAGTTCAAAAATTAAATTAAGTATTATAAACCCTTAATAATAAGCATTTCGAGAGGCCAGAGCAGCTCCAGCTGGGGAGAGAACATTTGTAAATGGTGGCAGCCATGGCCAATGCCATCACTGGGGGTGGGGGGGGTGCATTCCTGCTGGAGGCTGCTATGGAAGAGGGAACCAGTGAACCAACATCTGGTGTGTCTAAAGTTTCATCTAGTGCACTGACTGGAGGCGCTACAGTTTAATACAGCCGAGATTCCGGTCCCTCACTCATCCTTCGTCCAGAAAGGATGCACCACACATTCCAATATAATCCCATGGTATGCCCTGATGGACTGGCCACGAAATGCACTCAAATGCAGTAGAGAACAAGATTGTCAGCAAGCAGTGCTCCAGAAATTGTTTCTAAGTCATGTCTAGTTTTAAATCTTTGGAATAAAACTGATTTTTTAAATACCCTTCAACTAACATATACATAATTGCCTCTGGCAAATGGGCAGATTTTGTGTGTGTGTGTTTCAGGGTGGTTTTTTAAATTTTTTTTATTGTCATTGTTTTGTCGTGGGGTTTTTGTTTTTTCTTTTTCTTTTGTTGTTTTTTGGTCTAAATTGAAAAAAGGAAAAAGAGAAAGTAAAGTGTAAGGGCCAGACCTCAGAATGCCCCAAGTATCCAATTGGCAGCTACAACATTTGTGACAAGGAAGCTCCTTTACCCTCAGATGAGTAGTTGCAACATCTCAGTGAAACCAAAGGTTGCAGAAAGCTGAGAAACCAAATGCCAAGGATCTTGAAGGTTGCTGTCATAAATGTATTTGTGTTTCTTATATCATTTCCTTTTAAAGACTTCAGTTTTGCATCCCAAATAGGTATGGGGTGGCATTTAACAGTCAATGAGTCAAACAGTCAGAGGAGGGTAGGAGGGGAGCCAGCTGGTATGAAGGAGCAGCAACCATGTGTGGACCAAATGCCATTTTTGTTTTTGAGACGTGTCTTGAAGGGATGGTCCCAGAATATACAAAATATACAACCTGTCCTAATAACCACCCCGCTTGCTTGCATAGGCCATTTAATGGTCCTAAAGGCAGTCTTTGGAGTTGAGGCCAGTGCCAGCTAGCTAAGAATGCGGGTAGATAGAGACCGATATTGGATGTGTATGGGATGAGAAGTAAGGAATGTACCCCCTTGAAGTCAGTCTGCAGAGTAAACGTGAGGCCTCTGTTGATCCTGGGTGCTCTGGGTCACAAGTCATGATGGGCCTAGCCAGAAAAAAAATTAGAAATATGTCTCTACTTTTAGACAGACCATGAGCAAAACATCTCAACCCTTCCCTTAAATGTCCACCCTTCATTCCCACAATGGCATTTTTGAATTGTGTGTTTTAACAAGTGGAGTAACATGAGCCCAGTGGGTATGAGACAGGAAGATAGGATGATGTTTTCTGAAGTCACTAGACTTGGGAGGCATCTTCCGTTTTCCCCACTCCTGGAAAGAGTGATATTTTTGGCTTTTTGTCAGGTCATAACCCAGAGTTACGTTCAATATGCAGCTGCCTTTTGAGACTAGCGACATCTATGCTGAAACTGGGTACAGGGTAGCAATGACACACAGCACAGGGATGATCACTATGAGCTGAGGTCATGATTCCTCAAGGGGATGAGAGAGCTGTGATGTCCCATCTGATTGGCTGCTTTGAGAGCTGGACATCCAGGTGCTGAGAGAGTCCTGGAGAGGTTTAGTCCATGGAGAAAAGATAAAACATTTAAGCTTCCAAATAAGTTTTTCAAGTTTTCGTTAGCAAAAACAGAGAGATTAAAAAGAAAAAATCTAGCACTGGCAATAAGGTGAGGCTCAAGGGATAGACTGTGATTTATCATCAAGGACTTTATTCTCTTGGCCACTTTGCAGTCATGCTAGAAGTTTCCAGAATCCCTAGTGCATATGGTGTGCAAGAGTCAAAAGTAAGAAAAGAAAACTCCTCCCTTAAGAGTGAAGTCTAGAGAAATGCAGGCCAGAAAGGTGTAAGGTGTTATTCCAGAGTCTGTCGCCGCTAAGGCCGTTGGTATCGACTGGAAAGATCTCAATGGTACTAAGAAGAACCAAAACCGATCAACAGTTCTTTGAGGAAGTTGGACGCACGGAATAGTAGGACTTTTCACACACAAAGGACAAATAAACCAAGAGTTAATTTTGGCTACCAAACTGCAATTTGGTTTTCTAGGTCATTTTCCCCCAACTATTTAAAAAGAAACATTAGCGCTACACATATGCAACTTTAAGACGTAGTATTCTCCTATCAAGTTGCACTGAGAAGCAAGTTAGAGAGAAGCCCCTCTTACGGCTGTCCACCTCACATCCATTTTCTTTGATTTCCATGGGCAACAGCGGGAAATAATTCCAACAGTGCTGAAGTGAGCAGCCAGTCTGCCTTGCTGAGTTCACCTGGTTTTCTTCTTCTTTGTCTTCTACCATCTGGCTAGGGCAAGGCCTAACGAATAGACGTATATACTTTAAATATAGCGGAGTGCATGACAGTGTGTGTGGTAGTGGGGGGTCTGTGCGTGAGAGCATGTGTGTCTGTGTGTGTGTCTGTGTGTGAACACAGAGGTTTAGAAGTGAGAACTTTCTTCTGCGAGGCAATGGGTCCTCGCCTGAAGTCCAGCCCCCTGCCTCGTGGCATTTCCTTCAGACAACGGCCGACGTCATGGCAACTCTGGCCTTTAGGTTTTTTTAGATATGTCTCTTCATATGGAGGGCAAGGTGGTCAGACCTAGAAAAACACCTAGGAAAGATAAACAACAAGAAGGATATTAGAGAGGCTCAGGTAAAGAACTCATTTTCCGTCACCCCTACCTGAAAGAGAGACACTACATATGTATTGAGAAACAGGTGGTGTGTTGGGAAGGTGAGCTCAGGGGTCAGGTTGCTTGGGTTCAAACCCCAGCTCTCCCAAAAGCTATGTCACTGTGTGCATGTTAACCTCTCTGTGCCTTACTTACCCCTCTGTACAATGGTGCTGAGTACAGCACTCACATCACAGCTCCACTGTGGGATTAAATGAGACCATCAAGTGCTTAAACCACTGCCTGGCACATAGTAATATCTCAATGAACATTAACTATTATTATCATAATTGTCATTATTAAAGAAGAAACAAATGTGCAAATGCTTTGGAAACAACATGTGTTGTGCCCGTATACTATAAGTACACTACGAATGATTAGTCTATATTATCAAATGGTGGACCTCTATCTTTTCAGCACCCAGATTTCAGCCTTGAGCTTTCCAATGAAAGCCCGGAAACACTCCCCGTGATACCTACAAGTCTACACAGACCCTCTATATTCATCTCAAGAAAAAGAATGAAGAAGGGAGCTCACATTTATTGAATGTGGTATAATATGCAGGCTACGCTAGGTATTTCCCCAATATTACCCCAGTAACACCCTCAGCAGCCTTCCATGCTAAATATTCACACCCTTTTCTGTATGTATGGTAAGGAAATTGAGGCTAGGATCACAGAGCTAGTGAGTGACAGACTTGAGATCCCAGGTAGACCTGCAAGCCCACTTTTCTGATCTGTTTCTTGGTACATAAGGTTCACCACTGGGTGTATCCTCAACCTGCAGACTAGATGCAGTGGTTGTCTTCACTACTTCTCATTTTCTAACATCACTAACTTGATTTTCCCTTGGATAGCAACTCTTCTGCATTCTCAGTTGTATGGGGCTGATCCTCCTCCTAAGACTAAAGTTATGACCATAGTGATCTGCAAAGCAACAGTCACGTGGCCTGTGAAGATCAACGAGAGCCCTGGGACATTTGCTGAAACCAGAGGAAGCAGCTCTCTTTCCATGGGGGCTTCTAAGCTACTAAGATTGAAGCTGGGAGCTGCTGGTATCCATATTACCATGGGAAAAATGGCCTGCTTGAGAATGCAGTTGAGAGAAAAATTGGACCTGGGGATAGAAAGAGAGAGAGAGAGTTCTGATAACAATATCTAAGAACCTGGATCCAGCCAAGCCTAAAGACAACTCTAATTCTGTTCTTAGTTACTTGAGCTAATACCCTCTGGGCTAACAAACACTAGTCTGAGTCAGTGTTTCTTATAACTAATAAAGTGCACATTTCCATATCCCCACAGCCTACAACCTAAGGTCCCGGCGAGAATCCCAGCGAAGTTAGCACATAGACAGAGTCCTTCTGAGCTCTGAGTGTGTGCTGTCCCTCTGGACTCTTCTCTTAGCACTGTCCACTCCCCTACCTGGGAGAGCATTCCCAGCTTCTGCTGACACCCAGGAAAACTTCAGAGCCCAAGACTCTTGTTAGGATGTTAGCAAGTTGCCATGCTCAGGTTAGTAAGTTTTCACAAGGATTTCCCTGTGTGTGTTTGTTCTCAAATCAAACAAACAAAAAACCCCACTATATCCCCGGACCCTTTTCTCTCTCTTTTTTTATCCTCACCCAAGGATATTTTTGCATTTATCTTGAGATAGAGCGGGAGGGAGAGAGGAGGAAGAGAGAGAGAGAGAAACATCGACGTAAGAGAGACACATTGAGTGGTTGCCACCCACACGACCCCAAACGGGGCTGGGGACAAACTGCAACCGAGGTACGTGCCCTTAGCAAGAACCGAACCTGGGACTCTCTGGTCCACAAGCCAATGCTCTAACCACTGAGCCAAGCCAGCCAGGGCCCCAACCTACTATACACAGTTTGTGTTCACTTCTTAAACAGGTACATGTGCAAGGCAGAACCCCAAGGAAGTGAAGTAAAACAGAACAAAAGTAAAGTTAAAAAAAAAACACACACACACAAGAATAGGAAAAGTATAGTAGAACACATTCTACTCCAGTAACATGTTGAATCATAATAATTCTAATTCCACCAACCTATTTCAGGCTCTGATTTAGAATAAGCAAGATATCTGAATAATCCCTTAGAGTCCCATCTAAAGGGAATTTGATTTTCTAGAAAACAGTGATAAATTTTCTTTAAAAGCAAGCCCTTGATGCCACTGGTGCACAGAAGAGCAATACAGTCTGCAGGGACTTTGGCATTAATGTGCATATTCTGTTCTGTCCTGAAGGTACACGCGGTAGTGCCCACTGCCTATTCTCTCTTCTTCCCTTCCTCCCTCCATGTCTCCCTTTTTCCTTTTCTCTCGCCATCTGTCATCCCAACAGCCTAGAGAAAGAAGATCTAAGTTGCAAAGTTCTTTTTGCAGGTATTTACTTTTTAAAGTTAACATCCTTACAAGAATCCTATAAAGAGAGTACCGTTTTTATTCCTACTACCAGTGAGATATCCATCATAAGGAGGCAAAGCTAAGATTTGAACCCAAGTAGTCTGACTCCAGAGCCCAGGCACTTGGCCACACCTGCCTTTTAGGCTGAGAAGAAGGGAGGGCTGAGATGTCAATTAAAGGAGTTTATAGTAGGTAGAATAATGGATGGCTCCCCCAAAATGTCTACATCTAATTCCCAGAACCTGTAAATGTGTCAGGTTACAAGGCAAAGAGGAATTAAGGTTGTGGATGGAATTAATTTGCTGACCAGCTGACTGTAAAATAGGGAGATTATTCTGCATTATCTGGGTAGAACCAATGTCAGCACAAGGGTCCTTAAAAATGGGAGAGGAAACTGAAAGAGAAAACCAGAGAGACTGGCAGCATGAGAAGGGCTCAACAGCTTGGATGACAGGAAAATAGGATCAGGAGGCAAGAAATGTGGGCAACCCTTCAAAGCTGGAGAAGACAAGGACATGCATTCTCTCTTAGAACTTCTTTTTTATTTTATTTTATTTTATCCTCACCAAGGACATTTTTTTATTTTTTGTTCAGAGGGAGGGAGAAAGAGGAAGAGAGCGAGAAACATCGACATGAAAGAGACACATCGAGTGTCTGCCACCCGCACGACCCAACCAGGGCCGGGGACAAACTGCAACTGAGATACGTGCCCTTAGTGGGAACTGAACTCGGGTCTATCCGGACCGCAGGCCGACGCTCCAACCGCTGAGCCAAACCATCCAGGGCTCTCTTAGAGCGTCTTGAAAAAAATGCATCCCAGCTGATACTTTGATTTTAACCTAGTGAGACCTGTGCTGAACATATGACCTATGACCATTAGATAATAAATCTATAAAGCTATATAAAAATGATACTCAATTTGTGGTCATTGGTAATGGCATCAAGTAGGAAACTGGTCCAGAAGTTAACACGGTCAGGCCTGATCAGCAAAGGCCTGTGACAGAGCAAAGCAGGGACGCAGTACCCTGCCTGTTCAAAGGGAGATGCAGGGATCTGAGATGGTAAGAGGTGAAGGAGAGGTCTTGGCAGTGGACAAAATCTCTTTCCTTTGCTTTCTATATTTTGGGAACTTAAGAGGAAAATAGTATTCTTTTTTTTTTTAATTTTTTTTATTTTTTATCCTCACCCGAGGACATTTTTCCATTTTTTGTTCAGGTAGAGTGGGAGGGAGAGAGAGGAACAGAGAGAGAGAGAGAGAAACATCGACGTGAAAGGAACACATCGAGTGGCTGCCACCCGCACGACCGACCAGGGCCGGGGACAAACTGCAACCAAGGTACGTGCCCTTAGCGGGAACCGAACCCGGGTCTCTCTGGACCGCAGGCCGACGCTCTAACCGCTGAGCCAAACCGGCCAGGGCGAAAATAGTATTCTTGATACACAATTTCATTTGCAATAACCACTCAGTAATGTATATGTTCTGGACTTTTATTCTGCCTTTACCAATTGCCTACTCTGTGCTAGGTAGCAAGCAATACATGTACAAGCCTTCAATTTCTTTCAGGGGAAAAAAAAAACCACAAGTGAAGAAAACAAACCAGATCTTTAACATGATAGAAAATGTAAATGTACCCCCCAGAATCAAAGTAGTATCATTGTTCAAATTCTAAGAAATCTGAATAAAAACCTCAATGGGGAGGGACCTAGTCTAATGCTAAGGAGCATATGATACTTAGCATTAGACTAGGTCCCTCCCCATTGAGGTTTTTATTTAAATTCAATACACCAGCAAGTTACTTATTCATGATTAATTTATATTTATTAATTTATTCTTACTGAGCTCCACAAAGGAATAGTAAAAGGTAATAAATAAACTCAGCATCTAAAAATGCAGAATCAAATCATTTTTTTTTTTTTTATCCTCACCCGAGGACATTTTTCCATTTTTTGTTCAGGTAGAGTGGGAGGGAGAGAGAGGAAGGGAGAGAGAGAGAAACATCGGGTGGCTGCCTCCTGCATGACCCAACCAGGGCCGCAGACAAACTGCAACTGAGGTATATGCCCTTAGTGGGAACCGAACCCAGGTCTCTCTGGACCACAGGCCGACGCTCTAACCACTGAGCCAAACCGTCCTGGGCAGAATCAAATCATTCTAAGGGTAATATACCCCCAGAGGGTATTTATGACTATAAGGCAGATGACCTTAAATAAGAAGGTCTTTAATGATCGAAATGTGTTCATTACAGAGAACCAGTCAAACCCCTATGGTTGTTTCTCTTTCTTATAAAAAAAGGCACACTAAAGTCATGTGGACATTAGGCCAATAGCAACCCTCTAGGGCACCAAAGGGCTAGACACTGGCTGGTATTTCTTACCACCTCTAAGTGGGCTGACTCAACGATCAAAATGCCTCCTTCTCAACTGCCCAAGATCTTGTAGGTACTACCCTGGTAGCAGTCTCCCTGGATTCTGACTGTGCTGAGCTGGCAGAACAATGGCCTGTGCCTACTGTCACTAGTGGAAGCAGAGGACTTTTACCGCCATCAGCAGCCTCATGTTCTATGGCAGGGGTGGGGAACATCTGGCCCTTGGGCTGTATACAGCCGGCGAAATCATACAGCCAGCTAACATCGCACATCTCACCAAATTAGCCTGATCAAATATAGCAGGCTAATGTTTAAGTTGATAATTTTGTATGGCCCATGAATGCTGCATAAATATCCAAATGGCCCTTGGTAGAAAAAAGTTCCCCCACCCCTTCGTGGGCTGAGAGACAAGATTGATGCTCTAGCAGCTGCTCACTCAGTCGGCTGCTTGGTTTAGTCCGATGGAAAGGAAATGACAGAGCCACCTCACTGCTTTCTACCCCAACCCAAACCTGAAGCCAAGGTCACAAAACCCAATGTCTTCAGGGGTCAGGCAGGTAAAGTGAATGCGGGCAGTGGGTCAAGTGTAATAAACATACAGTACTATCTGATTCCACTTTTGAAAAGATGTGGATATGAAGAAATACTGCTCTCTGTAAGACAACAGAGCAAGTGTGATGATCCATGTCAATTGATGGCCTGCCTTCATGTTGGGAGACCACAGGGATTGGTGAGAACAGTGAGAAACTAGTGATCACATGGCCATTTCAAATGGGTAGTGATTACTACTCAGCTCCAGGAAATTATGGCCACATGGGAACACGAGCCCACTCTTACCGGATTTTCTAATTTTTCCAGACAAATCCAGCAATACAGAGACTTTTATGGCATCCAGCAATTTTAAATGTTAGCAAAACAAACACATGTATTTTTTTATTCTAGCCTGTACACAAAAGTATACATTGTACATGCTTTAAGGAAAGGAAACCCCAATCCTAGCTTAGCCTCTAAATAGAGTAGTCTGATTGTTCAAATTAGAAGAGGCAAGAGGTAGGTTTCTCACGCTCATGCACCATGTGGTGCCAATAGGATCCAGTGTCCTGCTAAGGGCTATAGATGCCCTCTGTTTCTGAAGGTAAAAGTCTTCTAAGGAATGCCAACTCCCCGGTCACGCCAGGCTTTCCTTTCATCTGCTTTGGGACCACTCCAATTCCCGATGCTACCTCCCAGACCTGCTCTATTCTTAGCACAATCCCTGCAATTGAAAGGCTAGGTGCTGCGTGTCATGAGGCACTAACGAGAGTCCAGCCCCTCATTTCTGACACTGTTGAAAATGCACTGACTGGCCAGTGCAGCAGGACTCTGAGCTGCTCAGTCTCTCCCAAATACCATGTTGCAGAATTTGTACCATCTGCTTAGAAAATTTCTACCTCCAGAAACCACAGTATATTTTGATGAAGAAAATAAAGCAAAGACACTAACCCAATTACCTGTCTCTGACAGATCCTTCACTGAAATATCGAGTTGATTTGAATTATTTCTCATATAAATCACACAATCAGATTAAATCCTAATGTGTCAGAAACTACACAGTTGTACATTTCACAGTAAGTCAGTTGACTTGAAGAAAGAAATATGAATTCTCTGCCCATTTCCAAAGACGATGGTGATCCATAATGCATCATCGCCAAGTAACAGCCTCACGACCTCTCAGGGACGGGAGAAGTGCGTGTGCCTCCTATTCCATACTCTGACAACTCACAAAGTGGAGATAATGCTCTTCCTCAAAGGACTGTGACACAGAATCACCGTCTTTGTAGCTTCTGTATTCGTAGCCAGGGCTAGAGAGGAATAAACTCGAGGAAGGAGTTGTCAAATAAGGAGCAACACGAATGAAGTATAAATAATCTGTAGAAGAGCTGCTGGGTCTTCTAGGTAATGGGATAGAAATAAAAAACAAAAACAGGTTGTATTCTTGGGTAGCAGAAGAAAACTCCAAAGGAACAAGGGACAATAGCTCTGAGAAGTATACTTCCTCAGCCCTGGGGTGGGGGGTTATCTCTGGGCTCCAGAAGGCAAGGGGGCTTTATTTAGTTCTTAAAGAATGAAGATAAGAGGAAAATAGCTTCTTAAGGAAGAAGGAAAAAAAAAAAGGAGGAAAAATATGAATGCTCCTTTATAAGCATCTTAAAGGAGCACCAAGCCAACTGGCCACTTGGGAGACTCGGCCACCCCTGACCTGCTCTCCAAACAAACACACACTGCTCCAGAGGAAGGCCTGGGAGGGGAGGGCGCACGGGCCTGGGAGGCAGGATGCGAGAGCGATCGAATTTCCTCCCGAGGAGAGACAGGCCTCCGTGGACATCCTGCAGCCCCTCCTGCCACCCTGCGAGCTGCTGGCCAAGCCGGGAACCCTGAGGCTCTCAGGGCTTTTATCGTATTAGAAGCATTTTTCTCATCATAACCGAGACCTTTAGTATTGCATTAAAAAGATGGTTAATTTTCTTAAGCTTCCTTTTAAACACAGAAATAGGATTAGAAGGATAACACGCTCAGATGCAAGCCCATTATTTGATTATGTCTAAACCTAATCCTGCCTTCACCTTGGCCTGCAGAGTCTCCATTTTGGGGTTTATTGGTTGATAATGCCAAGGCTGTCAGATACTATTACTAGTGTAGTTTCTGCTGCTACGTGCTCTTTCTTCCACTAGCAAATGCTGAAGGTTTGAAACGGAATTACAGGATAAGTTCTCAAAGCCTCGCCATCTTTTAGACCTTTGTGTTTCTTTTCAAAGGAGAAAAAAATGGTGCAGGCCCTCAAAGAGTGGGAACCGTCGTCAGTAAATTTATTTCTAATAATACTTCAGAGGAAAGCCTTATACCTCACTGTCCTTCTGTTAAGCAGGCTTTCGACTCTTTCACTTTATTAAGGATGAGAGAAAATGGTATTGATGTTAATAAAAAGATCAGAAGCAGCAGCTACATGTATCCATTCTCTACCCTATTACTTTTCACATTATACTAAAATGATCTGTCTCATTATTTCCTTGAGGCTAGGAATTGTGTCTGATTGATATCCAGTGGCTAACATGGTTCTGGGCCCAAAGCTGGGGTTCAGTAAATGCTTGTGTAACTGAACCAAGAATTCACATCGTCGCTTGAGTACACGCAAGAAGGCAGCCTTCTCTCACTGGTTTTCTTGGTGAAGTCACAGGCATTCCCAGATCCCAGACTCAGGGAGAGAGGCTTGTGACAAATCCAATAGCACTTAGACAGTGACCCTCCCACCGACCGTCTTCCCTCCCCATTCAGAAGCTTCGAAGTTCCTTTACCTGTCGCAGTGGTTGCATTTGAAGGGCTTTGCACCTGTGTGTTTCCTGTAGTGCCTTGTGAGCTCATCACTTCGTGCAAAACGCCACTCGCACCCTTCCCATGAGCACTTATAAGGCTTCTCACCTGCAAGAAGAGACGGAATGACCATGGTCAGTGACAGGAACACAATGGCCACGCACCTGATCAGATTCTACCTGTTCATCAGTCTTAGAAAGGTGTTACATAAATCATTCTTGAAACACATTTCCCAAACATAGCACGTCACGTTTTCTTTAGTCTCCCGGTGTTTTGGTGGTGGTTGTTACTTTTTTTTAACCTTCAAAAGTGGTTTCACAAGCTCCCCAACCTGCAGCTGTCATTTCAGTTCCCAGAGTCAGAGCACTTCCTTCAACTGGTGAGGGATCAATTTTTATTTATTTTCTATTCCCTGGAGCACTTTGACCCCCATGGTCCAAGCAGAAAGGAAATGTGCTATTTTCATCTGAACCACAAATGCTTCTAATCTATTTTTCTCCAGAACCTACAGTAATTTACCATTTCAGCCTTTTTAGTCTCCTCCCTCCTCTTCCCTCCTACCACAGACTGTAGCCAGGTAGCCGCCTGACAAGGCAAAAGCTCAGTTCTCCCAGAACCACTCATCCTTCCAGTAAACGGGCGTGGAGAGACAGGCATGAGAAAGGGCTACAATCGGAGAGTCAAGCACAGAAATCACCTAACAATTCCTGGCATTTCTGTGAAACACAGTCACTATTTAAGAAGCCCGTAACTAATGACTCCAGAGCATTCATATTAGAGAGAGATACACAAGATTACAAAATATGTTTAAAGTCAATTTGTAGAGCAGGGTTTTAGCCACAGAGAAGCTGCTTAAAAGCACGAAATTTGAGCCCTTGTACTCAAGTGACCTTTTCGCACAGTCAATACAGATGGAAGGATATGGAAGAGAGAGTGCATGACTTTCCCTTCGACCTTTTTCTTTTTTAGCCCATCAAAGTCTGTCACCAAACATGACAAATATTTACCCTTCCAACTGTAGAGTTAGTTGGTTCTAATTAAGAAGAAAAACAATCTTTCAAACCACATGAAATCATGAGAGTTACTGGGTCCTGTAACTGAGAGGCAGGTTAGCACAGTGGTCATGAGCTCTGAAGCCAACCTTCCAGGGCCGAGTTTTCAGTTCTGCCTCTGATTGTCTAAGTCAATGAAGCTTTTTGCCTCTGTTTTCTTTAATTTTTTTTTTCTTTACTGATTTTAGAGAGAGGGGGAGGGAGAGGGAGAGAGATAGAAACATCGATGAGAGAGAACACTGACTGGCCGCCTCCTGCATGTCCCCCACTGGGGATCAGGCCCACAACCCGGGCATGTGCCCTGACCAGGAATCGAACCAGTGACCTCTTGGTGCATGGGTTGACGCTCAACCACTGAGCCACACTGGCCGGCAATTTGTCTCTGTTTTCTTAGATATAACAGTATGTACCTCCAAGGGTTTGGAGAGGATCAGTTAATATTATGTGAATTAATATGTATTATCTATTAATTAGAACAGTGCCTGGCACATGGAACATTCACATAACTTATAATTATTATAAACTGCCAAACCCCACATTTCAGGATACACAAGTGCCAAAGGACTGTCTATGGCTGTCCCATTATTTCTCCATTTTTCAGTGAAACCTTCACTAGGCAGCGCTTAAAGCGACATTGCTCAGGACTATACTTGACTCACTTTCTTCTTTCCACCTTTTCTCTTCCCTTTAAGCCTGACTACAAAGTGATCACAATTCTTTATTTGTATCACCTAGAATCAAACCAAACATGATTGAAAGTTTTATTTCATTAAATCGGTGCCCAGTGAGCCAGTGCTCTATAGGACCAGAGTGGAGAGGAATGAGAAATGCAGGCAGTGCTTTGAAAGGGAACCAAGAAGACATGAAGGAGAGCTAGAAGCACAGGAGGAAATCCATTCAGCTTTGGAAACAGGTGAAAAATGAATCACTGAGCAGGGTTAAAAGTTCACCTTATGGATCCTTAAAGCCAAAATTTTAGAAAAGTGCACCTGCTGAACAGAAGGTGAAGAGGGGAGATGTCAGATCAACTTTGGGGTTGGCACACCTGGGGTCTTTCTGAGTTCATTACAGACACTAAACCTCAGTGTCCTTATCTGTCGGATGGGGTGAGAGTCTTATATCTATTGTGAAGATTAAATAAGTTGTCATGTATAAAACACACTTCTTGAGCCTGGCACATAATTAATATTCAATTAATTTGAACTCCCTCCCCTCCCTAGATCACCTGTGTGCTCAGAGGCTGCTGGGGAGACAGGTCTAACCGGGTGTCAATAAAAACTTTCAGAGTTCAGGATCTAGACAACTGGGTCTGGAATCACTCTAAATATTGGAAAGCAGAGTCTGTTTAAGCTTTAAATGTGTCCTCAGTATACTTATGGAGAGTAGATCAGAAAAACTGAGCATTCCTTAGATCTCTGAATGAGTAGGATGCTGAGGGGGAAAAAAGAGACCCCAGTTGGAGAGAGAAGTGCCCTCCCAGAGTGGCGTGTTGGCATCCTTCTTAAGGCTATTGATTACCCACAGGCTTTATTACTTCAAAGAAATCTAGCACGAACAACAACAACAAAAAGACAGAATGAGGCACCAAAGACTTCAGAAATTCAAAATGCCCTCCACCCCAAAAGGCTTTCAAATGCAAGAAAAACTGGAGGTTCCTGGAACCATGGGGACCACACAGACCAAATGCAACAAGGCATCTGGAAATCCTATGACATTCTACAGCAACAAGCAGAGACAACCAGTCCCCCAAATCAATCCCACAATCGAACTGACCCGTCCATCACAGGCAACCACAATCTGAAGGACACAGAAGGACAAAGAACACAGAGAAAACAAAGAGATTCAAGTAGATATCTTTGGGTATTTTGTTTGTTTGTTTTCGTTTCAAACTGTGTGCTTTTCCCTGGGCAGAATTTTAAAAATTAGTTGTTTTATTTTGACAAATAATATCAAGGATTTAGTTACTTCCTAGGAAATAATGTAGGCTCTTATAGTTAATTCTGACAGAAACCAGCAGTCCTAGCCAGTAGCTATTTCAGTTCTCCCTGGCAGCTGTGTAGACACAACTACAGAGAGCTTCACTTGACTGAATCATATCACCAACACTGCTTCCTGCTTATGGCCAGGTGCTAGAGAGTCACACCGAGGACAAGCCCCTTTGTACCCTGACAGGTAAGCCAAGTCATGTTAGAGTGGCTCCTCAAGCTAGTTTCCCAGTGTCTGATTAATTCACCTACAAGTTGCCTTTTCTGCAAACACTCACTACTAACAAATGTAAAATAACCAAGAAAGAACTCAGCCAAATTAAGGAATGGTGTCTGAAAAAGGCAGAGTTAAGAAATCAGAGGAGCAGAAAAAATGTAAAGAATTGGAAATAAGACTTCATCTTCAGGGCTCAGGAATAGTGGGATTAGGCTAACCTCATTTCTGGGTTCTATACCACTTCCATCAACCAATTTCTACTCAACAGCAGATCAATGAAACTGTCAGGATTTTGCACGGCCAAGATTACCAGCATCCACTGCTTGATCTAGGGGGCGGGACCACCTATAGCCACAATGCATTTGTTTCATTCTAACAGCCTACCTGAAGATATCTGCTCATTTTATAAATGCTTGGGTTTCCGCCCTGGTCGGTTTGGCTCAGCGGTTGGAGCGTCGGCCTGCGGTCTGGAGAGACCCGGGTTCGGTTCCCGCTAAGGGCACGTACCTCGGTTGCAGTTTGTCCCCGGCCCTGGTTGGTCGTGCGGGTGGCAGCCACTCAATGTGTCCCTTCACATCGATGTTTCTCTCTCTCTCTCTGTTCCTCTCTCTCCCTCCCGCTCTATCTGAACAAAAACTGGAAAAACCTCCTCGGGTGAGGATAAAATAAATAAATAAATAAATAAATGCTTGGGTTTCTTTCTTTATAAAAGAAGTCTTTCTAATCGCAAAAGCAAAGGAAGGAAGAAAGGGAGAGAGGGAGGGAGGAAAACGGAGAAGAAAAAAGAAACGGGCAGTTCAGTCATAATTGGAGCAGATTTCATGCAAAATCTGCTCATCGTCCTCACCCTCCCTTCTCTCCTCGCTCCACTCCAGATACTATTCCCAAGTATAGAACAGAAAATGTCATCCCCTGCACAACACTATACTGCATGGCACCTGGGATAAAGCCCGCCATTCAACTCACTGCACCTCAGGAGTGAATGAAAATGTCAAAAAGACAGGCAGATGGGAGAGAGGCTGAAAACATTAGGACTCCAGTCCAGAAGGCGTGTGTGAGTGAAGGCAGGCGCATCACGAGAAGACCGACGAGGGAGCACAAAGTGCCCATGCAGTTCACAGTGCTAGAGGCAGAACACACTCTTCAGAGCCCCCTGACTTTTAGGAGGAATGTCAATAACTACCTTTCCTATCTGGAAATTAACCCTAGGAAACTTGTTTCCCTGGGGGAGCACATGTCACCTCAGGGTGACAGCAGGTCTAATCAGGCATAAATAGATTTATAACCAAAGGAGGGCTCGTAAAGAGAATTAAGGATGCTTAAGAAACAGGACTGACATTTAGCAAGGCTGAATCATGGCAAGAATTCATGTTCTCTCACAAAATGGCCTCTGAAATGCCATGTGGTCTAAACCAGTGTGTTCTTTGTTAATTTCTTATAGAGTAACTCTCCCTACATCATGATCATCATATTTGATTGATTAAAAACATATCAATATTTTTTGGACATATCCTTTCGATATATGTAGATTTATTCATGAATTATATAAATATACTTATGTCCTAATATATTAGAATTTTATAAAACACACATTCAATATAGACATTTAAAAGAAGTACAGCACAGGGAATATAGTCAATAATACTGTGATTCATATGTATCGTGCCAGGTGGGTACTGGAACTACTGGGGGGAACAGGTTGTAAAGTATATGACTGTCTAACCACCATGCTGTATACCTGAACCCAATACAAAATAATATTGAAAGTAAACTGTAATTGAAAATAGAAAAAGAAAAAAGAAATGCACTTTACATTGGAATTCGCCACACAACATGTAGATGAGCGTTTGTGTT